AAATCAAGGCAAAAACCATTTCCTAGTGAATGTATTTTGTTGTCTTAAAAAACTAAATGTATGGCAGTTTGTTGCAACCCACCCAAACCCACGATCATCAAGTTCATTACAACTCAGAGCAAACTCATGCATTGACTTCCACTTAATTGGCTTTATCAGCATGAAGCCACCATTTGTCTGTTAGTTGTTGTACAGAGCTGGCTTGTGTGTTGCTGTGATGATGGAAGCTTTGTCACTGGGATTTCAGATGCCAGGAGGGTTACACAAAGTGAACAGGTTTAAGTGGAGCTAACAGACCAAGGACAGACAACACAGAAGGACATGGCTGCCTGATTTAGAGGAAGTATCCTCTGAAAATCTCATGCATAACTTTTGTACATTGTCAGAGACCCGAGAATCTCATTAGCAGAAGCACAACATGGCTGGAAACAATGCCAATGAATGGCCCCTTGGGTGGGAGGTACTGGAGGACTGAGAAAGGGCTGCTTCTGAGAGTAGGGTCTGCCATGGGGAAATGAGTGGGGTCAAACCTGTGGGAATGGAGCTTTGGGCTCTTCATTTGATGATGGAACATAACTAAAAGTAAGAAGAAACTGGTACAAATTTTTGCTAGTGATAAGAATTTGGAATGGGTTAAGTATGAATCCACAAAATTTGAAAGTCATAAAACATGAAATGAAAGCATGATTGATATCGTAGGCATCAGTGAGCTGAAATAGACTGGGATTGACCATTTTTGAATTAGAAAATCATACGAACGTGTACAAGGGGTACCCCCCCCTAAAAACCAGAATGTTTTAAAGCTATGTATTTAAATTGCTTTATAAAGCAACCTTATCACCTTCAAATTACTCTCTAGTGCACTTAATCCATTTGTCAAATGTGTGATTCCATTCTTCAAACATTTTTCAAACTCATCTGTTTGGATGACTGACAGCACCTCCTCGATTTTTTTCCCTTCTCTTCTAGGCCACAGAATCGTTATTCCTCATGTCCCTCTTCATTTGTGCAAACAGAAAGAAGTTACATGGAACAAGGTCAGGGGAGTAAGGTGTATGGGGCAAGAGAGGCATGCTGGTTTTTGTCCAGAACTGGTGCACTGAGATGGTTGTGTGAGCAGGTGCATTGCCGTGGTGGCAAACCTAGTCCCGCATCTGCCACAATCAGACCTTTCCCCCACCACACACACTGTTATGCAATCTTTTCACAACCTCTAAATAGAAAGTGTGATTAACAGTCTGATGTGGTGGAATCAACTCCAAATGCACTATCCCCCTCACATAAAAAATAAAATAAATGAGCACTGTCTTGCTCTTTGCACTTAACAAGATTTGGGAGAGACAAGGAAACAATGGTGTCTTCTACTAGCTTCATTGATGTTTCCTTTCAGGGTGGTAAGAATAGTACCATGTGTTTTCACTAGCAATGACCTTGGAAAAAAGTCTGGGTTGCTTCTGAGCTATTCTTTCAAAGCACTGCATATTTCCACTTGACTGCACTTTTCTCTGGTTAGTCAGAACCTAACACATAAATTTCACAGCAACTTTTTTGATTCCCAAATTTTCAATTAAAATTCACTGAACCAAGGTCCAAGACAATCCAGATAACTTCCCCATCTCTTCAATGGGCCATCATTGGTTTTCAAGCACAAATGCATGGATTTTGTCAACATTTTTTGTCCATTTGGGAAGCTGAGGGACTTCTGGAATGAGATTAGTCACCAAACGATATTTCAGTTTTTTTGAAATGAGAAAACCACTCATACACTTGAGATTTCCCCCAGGGATGTCCTTGTATGCTGTGTTCAAGAGTTTGTGGAGCATTACCCCATCCCACCCCCACACCTCCCAAGAAGGAAACATAATTTCACATACGAATGCTGTTCTCTTAAATCAGCCATCACAAAAAATGAGGCTAGAGTGAAATTGCATTTATGATAAAATTAACTGTTACCAGAGAGAAACTTCCCAGGTGATGCCACTGGGTACACTAACTCAGAGCAAGTTGCTCCATGCTTGCCTAGAAGGGAAAATGCATACTATAAAAGCTCCAGCCAGCAGAGCTCTTTCCCTTTATTATTTTGGGGGAGAGGGAGGATACCACCTCTTCATATACAAAGGGAGCAAACACATTTGGGGGAACACAAGCACATGATTGTTGGTAGGAAAAATGGGAGGGCTGACCTCCAGTTTGGGGAAAGAAGAGGAGTGTCCTTGGTAATATGCACTGAATGGGCCACCTGGACCTAGATTTCTGGTTGCATCCTGGGAACACTCTGGCATTGAATACTGGATTTCCAAGGCCCAGGGCATGCTTCAGAGCTGTGCCAGTGAGATCTGATGTGGAAACTTCTCTGGGTGAATTGGATTCTACTTCAGATACACTGTAGCCTAAGGACTGAAGACAGAAAATACTTCATGTTTGAGGAAGCGGAATACAGCTATACCACGATTGCTGAACTCTTGGTAGATGCACAAACATGGTCTTGCTACATTAATGCTCTATATGCTGTATTGAGATATGTATTATTCCAGCAAACACATGACTGACATTCTCAGTGATTATTGTTGTAAATTTTTCATGATAATTAACCCCATTTTTCATATAAATATCATCCAACTGTGAAAGGATAGATTCTGTACAAGTGAATACTTGATTTTCTATGATATAGAAATAGCCTACCTTGTCCCAATATCCCTCTCTCAAGAGGACTTTAAAAAAAAATGAGTTCCTGGGGCTACCCAGAGACAATATCAATGGAAGATTGCGATGCCTCATGGTAATTATTAATAATACTTGCTACCATAAATTAACCAGGAGATTTTGAAAGGGAGCCAAAGGCAGACAGAAAACAAAATATAGATGGAGGAATGAGTTTTGTGCTCTCACTAAATCCTAGCTCCAACATAATAACAATAGTTCTTATATCATGGCCCCTCAGGAAGGGAAGGCAGGTGACATGGGTGTTACAGCAAAATGTGGTAAAGGAATTAGATGATGCCGATCTGGCATCCAAATAAAAAAGCATCTGGAGTCTTAAGGGCTTTTCTCAAAACAAGCAGCCAACTAAGTGAGATGTCAACTAAGTCCACATGGAAGAAGCACATCATCATCAACCAAAGGATTGTAAATCATGTAATCTGAAGTCAAAGGAGGGATTAGTGTCAGAGCCTAAATTGTGAGAATCCAGTTTGCAGAAGGCTATGGATGACAGTGGGAACCCAATATACATTTGTAGGAACTACCTAGGAAATAAGCCTCTGAGATTTCCCTCTAACATAAAAAGTTATGGGTGGAAAGTGGTTAATAAACAGAATTCATGGAGAGATGACTATAGGATATCAAAAAGATTAACCTGAATTGAACTTTTAAAATATTGTCAATTGATCCCCTTTCTGATGTATGTTAGGCGTTGTCTGCTTTTCAACATTTTTGGTATTTTTTTGTTTTTCCATATTGGGATTTATCTCAGATGTGTTAAGCCATTGGTGATCAACCTGTTGAATCTGTGTAATATGTTTTTCTGTTTTTCAGTATATGAAACCCAGAATTGATGAACCTATAGGGACAGCAAGTAGAATAAAGGTTTCAGGGTGTGGGACAGGGTACCTGATGGTGTGTGTGGGGTGAGTAAAAGGGAGTTGATGTCAAGGAGTCCAGGAAGGAAAAGAATGTATGGAAACTGATTGTGGCAGCAATTTTACAATACTGATTGATGTGATTGAACTATGGAATGATATGATATATATGTATTAGCTTCCAATTGAAAAAAAAAGTCTGATTATTTCCTTTTTCGGAATTCTTTAATTTTTGGCAATATCCTGAGTTCCTTCCTCAAGCAGACTTTGCCTCCCCTTCATTCAAGAAGTTGTGTATCTGCAAACTGGCTCAGATTTGGGGTTTTGAGGAATAATGCCTTTCTATTTTGGTGCTTTAAAATATTTTGATATTCAGTTGACTAAGAATGTATTTGTTTGTATAAACCTAAGCAACTTTTAACTGTTCGACATCTATCTCATTTCTAGAGGCACAAAGAATTCAACACAATAAATCCATGCAAGTCAAACTGGTTACTGCTTTAACTGTTCTGTCCATTATGATAATCAAGCCACCATGTCTTTGGCTATTAAGTGGTACTTCTATATATCTGCTAACCCAGAATGCATTGTGCTAATTATAGGTAGCATCCCCTTTTCATTGAGGACATAGTAAACCTAAACTACACAGACGAGCAATCAAAGGAATCTTCAAAGATGTTAGATCTCACTTCACAAATGTCTATCCTACAAGTGTGGTGTAAGATTTCTTCTTTGGGCACTTCCTGGTTGGATTGATAGATGTTACACTACGAACATTGCAATTTTATTAAGCTTGTGGGTTTTTAAAATGTAATATATTGTGTCATTAAAATTCATTTTGTGTAGGCCACATTTTAATTCACATTTCAATCAAACAAATAAAATATCTGATACTTTTCTAAATCCTTGAATATATAAAGTGAATGAAGCGTCCCTGCTAACTGAGCACAAATAATAAACTCAGACTGATTCAGCTTTATGTTCCTTGCACAGTGTTAGAAGAAGTAAGACCAGAGTGCTCCTTACAGGCAAGGGTAGCAAGACTTTGTCTTATATATTTTAGACATACTGTCAGGAGAGATCAGTTTCTGGAGATGGACATTATGTTTGATAAAGTGGAAAGGAATCAAAAGAGAGGAAAGCCCTCAAAGAAATGGATTAACAAAGTGGCTGCATCCATGGACTTGGGCTTAGGAATGCTTGTGAGGATGGCACGGGACTGTGCAATATTTTGTTTTGTTGTGCATAGTGTTGCTGTGGGTCGGAGGTGATCTGATGGAACCTAACAACAACAAGTATTCCATCATGTGCCTCTACCTGAGTTTCTTTTTCTAGCCTTGTACTGGTGGATATTTAAGATGCTTCCATCTTCTGGCATTATGGACAATGCTGTAATGAACACGGTTAAAGGTATTACTTCTTGTGCTCACATCAGCAGCACACATACTAAAAATTTTGAATGATACAGAGACAGTTATCATGGCCTCTGTACAAGGATAACACACAAAATTGTGAAGTGTTCCATATTTTTAACATCTCCTAAAAGCTGAAATAAAACAAAGCCTCCCCTAGAATCCATTACCCTGCCAAATTATCTATTAAGATAGAAGGATATATAAGGGTCTTCCAGGACAAGGAAAAACTTAAAGAATATGCTGCAAGACACCCAACCCTGAAGAAGATTCTGGTCGACTCACTATGGCCTGAAGACCAACATCCAGCAAGCACAAACAGGAGAACACCATGTAGCCCAACTCCAACCAGAAGTCAAAGAACTGATACCAAATGCTAAGATAGCATGGCCACATAGGGAAAAGAAGGCAAAAAAGAAGCCCCCCACAAAGATACAGCACAGTGATAAGAAGGGAGATAGGAAAATACGTAAATCAAAAGGCACAGGATGTTAATGCCTTTTGTCATTAATCCACAGATCATGATAATAACTCTAAATGTCAACAGCCTTAACTCCTACACTTAAAAAAAAAAAAGGCTTGCAGACTGGCTTGGAAAACATAACCCATCAATCTGTTGCTTTCAGAAAACACATGTTAAGCTCACAGAAACAATAAGTTATAAAAGGCTGGCAGAAGATATACCAGGCAAATGGCAACTCAAAAAAAAGCAGGAGTCACAATTCTAATCTCAGAAAAAACTGATGTCAAGGTTCAAACCATAAAAAGAGATAAGGAGGGGAACTTTATAATGGTCAAAGGATCACTTTACCAGGAACCAGTGAGCATAATAAATATATATGTGCCAAATGAGAGGTCCTTGAAATTTGTCAAACTATTCAGAACATGAAAAAAGATATCATAGATTCAACAATTATGGTAGATGACCTTAATACACTGCTTTCAGAGAAAGATAATTGGCAAGGAAGCTCAGCAAAGAGAATATACGGCCAAACACTATAATTACATAACTAGATCTGATAGACATATTTAGAGATTTCCAACCAAATGCAAAAAAATATACACATTCTTCTCAAGCACACATGGCACATTTTTGAAAATAGACCACATGCCGGGACACAAGCCAAGTCTGAGTAAATTCAAACACATAGAGATTATACTGATATCCTTCTCAGATCATCATGTCATAAAGCTTGAGATCAATAAAAGGATGACCAGAAAAACAAGGGAAAACAATTGGAGGATGAGTAATGATCTTCTGGGACATGAGTGGGTACTGACCCAGATTAGAGGGTATATCAGAAAGGTTCTAGAAGTTAATGAAAATGACAATATATCGTATCAAGACATACGGGATGCGGTGAAAGCAGTCTTCACAGGTAGCTTGATAGCAATAAGGGCATACATGAAAAAGGAAGAGAGACTTATAATGGATACACTCTCAAAAAATTTCCAGAAACTAGAATAGAATCAATAGAAAAATGCCTCCAACAACAAAAGAACAGAAATAATAAATAACAGGGTAGAGTTGAACCACTGGGAAGACAAAAGAATGATGCAGAAGATTAATGCAGTAAATAGCTAGTTCTTTGAAAGGATCAGCAGAATTGACAGACTGCTGAGAAACCTAATCAAAGAAAGGAAAGAGCAAACAATAGCAAGGATGAGGAATGAAACAGGGGTAATCACAACAAACCCTAATGAGATTAAAAGGATAATCACAAAGTACTATGAAAGTTTGTACTCTAATGAGTTCAACAATGTGGAAGACATAGACAAATACTTGGAAAAACAATCAATCCCTCCCTAGACTATCCCAGATAGAGGTCAAGAACCTAATCAAACTCATAGAAAAAGAAGAAATAGATAAGGTTATCAAGAAGCTACCAACAAAAAACGCTCATGGACCAGATGGCTTCACAGGAGAATTTTACAAAGCATTCAGGGCAGAGCTGACACTGATCCTCCAGAAAGTATTCCAGAGTGTAGAAAAGGATGGCAACCCCAAAACTTATTTTAAGAAGCCAGTGTAATTTGATAGCCAAGCAGGGCAAGGATCCCACAGGAACAGAGAACTATAGACCAACATCTCTAAGGAAAATAGATGCAAAAATCTTCAACAAGATATTGGCCAACAGAATACAAAATTATATAAAACATATCATCCACCAGGATCAGATAGGATCCATCCCAGAGATTCAGGGATGGTTTAACATCTGAAAATCCATCAATATTATATACCACATTTATAAGAAAAAGAATAAGAACCACATTATAATATCTATAGATGCAGAAAAAGCATTTTACAACATCCAGCACCCATTCCTAATTAAGACGCTCAGGAGGATAGGAATGGAGGGGCAGTTCCTCAAGTTAATACAAGCTATCTATGAAAAGCCGACAGCTAACATCATAGTCAGTAGAGAAAAGACTAAATCAATTCCACTGGAAAAGGGAACCAGACAAGGATGTCCATTGTCCCCACTTCTATTCAATATCATACTGGAGGTCCTAGCTAATAACATAAGACAATGGAAATACATCAAAGGTATCCAACTGGGACACAAGAAGGTGCAATTATTGTTATTGCAGATGAGAAGATCCTGTACATTGAAAATCCCAAAAGCTCCACAACAGGAGTACTGACAGCGATAGAGGAATATGAAAGAGTAGCAGGATACAAGATTATCAAACAGAAGTCGATTGGTTTCCTACATATATCAGACAAGACCATGGAACAGGAGATCAAGAAGGCAGTACCCTTCACAATAGCCAAGAACAAACTGAATTATCTAGGGATATATGTAACAGCAACAAAACAAGAGACCCCCATAAGGAAAACTACAGGAAACCAAAAGCAACCTCCACAAATGGAGGAATATTCCATTCTCCTGGACTGGAAGACTAAATAGAGTAAAGATGTTTATCCTACCCAGGTCAAGTTTAATGCTATCGTGATTCATATACCAACAACCTTCTTCAAATAATTGGAAAAACTGACCACCAATTTCATATGGAGAGGGAAGAAGCCAAGAATTAGCAGAGAACTCCTAAAGCAGAAGGATATATTTGGAGGGCTCGCTTTACCTGACTTTCTCACCAATTACAAAACCAAAGTGGTCAAAACAGTGTGGTACTGGCATAATGACAGATACACAGACCAATGGAAAAGAATAGAAAACCAAACCCAGAAATAAAACCATCAGCATATAGACAACTGATCTTAGACAAGGGTCCTAAGATCAGCAAGTGGGAGGGTGATGCCTTATTTTAATAAGTGGTGCTGGAAATAAGGAAATCCACATGTAGAAAAATGAAGCTAGATGTCTACCTCACCCAATGCACAAGAACAAACTCAAGGTAGGACACGAACCGACAAGTAAACCCCCCACACATCAGGATCATTAGCGAAGGAATCGGGACAAACCTAAGAACCTTGGCCTAGGGAATACAAAGGTTAACTGCAATAGGGCAGGGTACACACACAGGGGAACCTGAAGTTGACAAATGAGATTTACTACGGATAAAACACCTGTGTTTATCAAAAGACTTTGCCAAGAGTATAACAAGGCAAACCAAAGACTGGGAGAGGATTTTTGGCAACAACATATCAGACAAAGGGCTTATTACAAAAATCTACAATACCTTCCTTGCCTGCAAAAAGAGGAAAATAGTTAACCCTTTAAAGAAGTAGGAAAAAGAACTGAAAAGATGTTTCACTAGGGAGGAGACTCATATGGCCAATGAACATGAGAAAATGTTCCCGATCATTAGCTATCAGAGAAACGCAAATCAAAATAACCAGGAGATACCATCTAACAGCTTTGAGGCCAGCCTAAATCAGAAAATCAGAGACACAAATGTTGGAGGGGATGTGACAAGATAGGAACTCTCTCCTACCTTGTTTGTGGTCTTGTAGATATGTACAGCTGCTATGGAAAGCGATCTGGCGATGCTTTAAAAAGATGGAAATTGAGCTACCTTATGACCCAGCTATTCCTGTACAGGGTATATACCCAGAAGAGGTAGGTAATAAACCACAATTAGTCGTATGCACTCCAATGTTTATTGCAGTGCAATTCACAATCGCAAAGAGTTGGAAACAATCTAAATTTCCTTTGGTAGATGATAGGATCAGTAATCTCGGCCACAGAAACACAATGGAGTACTATGTATCACTAAAAAGCACTGATGAGCAAATGAAGCACAACTTTTCATGGGAAGAGTTGGGGAAAATTATGCTGTGTGGTCAGCCAATCACAAAAGCCGAAGTATAGCATGAGTCCCCAGAGGTAAGTGTAATCAGCATGGTAGGTATAAAAGAGAAGCCAGCTATATCATAACATTTGGGTTGAGATACAGGCAATTGGGAGGAGGTTAGACCAAACCCAAGGAGGTACATGATGGTCCAACACAATAATGGGAAAAGGAAGGATGGGGGGGGGGGTTGAAAGTGACTTGATAACAGAGGGAGCAGGGCACTAATCCACCCAGGGGAAGAGTGCTGGTCTTGTCTTCACAGAATCAGGAGAGGGCATGCATACCCTACCACGATGCACCAAACCATGAGGACAGCATGGCCACATGGAAGGATGCATGAAAAGAGAGACCTACAGGGCTGGCCCTAAACAGAGCAAAACTGACCCCCTCCCTGGAAGTGGGTGTGGTGGAGAGCAGAACTGATCCTACAGGTTGGGGAGAGGGGCCAGCATGCCACAAGCACAAGGAGGTAGGCCCGGAGGGAGGAAGAGATAGAGATAACCAGACTGAACCCCATGCTGGCACACCAGGCTTGGAGGATGATGTTCCTGTGGGGAGCTAATGGGACACAGATGGGACTGGGCAACTGACAACAGCATGTGTCACGCTGTCCTCTTACTGGAGCAGACTGAGACAGAAGACATTTCTGGGGTCACATGGTGGGAAGGCAGTACAGTCTGAACCCCTTGCAGAGTGAACCAAGAAGGGAGCATATCAGCTCAGCAACTGGAGCAAGACAGAGCTACGAAGCTGTGAGGAGTCCCCCAGGGGACATTCCAGGCTGGGAGGGGAAGCTCCTGGACAGTGTTGAAGGCCATCAAACAGACCCTGGATTCTTGTATATTTCTTCGCTCCTTTT